ATGGGGCACCGTGGGGGGCACCTGAGGGGATGCGGGGCTCTGAGGGGGGCACCTGAGGGGGCATGAGGCACTGGCAGGGGGTGGGTCTGGGGTTCGTGGGCACTGTGGGGGCAGCTGTGGGCAAGGATCACCAGCAGGCAGACTGAGGGGAGGGCTGAACTGACCCCTTCACTGTCAGCAGAACTTTCACTCCTTTCTCTTGCAGGGCATGTTCCTTCTGGCCTCATCTGCCACCCCAATGACAAGGATATTCTTTATCCATTGGGGTATGCTGTTGTAATTCAGGACCTGGACACCAGAACCCAGAGTTTTTTACGTGGCCACACCAACAATGTTAGCTGCCTGGCCCTGTCCAGGAAAGGGGAATATGTAGCATCTGGACAATATACTGCCATGGGATTCCAGGTGGATAATGCTCTAATTTTTACAGTGTAATATTAACCAAAGAAATTTGAGTTGGCTTCCCAGCAGTAGCAAATGTCTACAGCTGGAAGATGCTGCAGAGAATGGGAAATTGTGGCTAGTCTTTGCTGGATGTACCTCTGTGTTTTGTAAAATATTACTCAGTCTCCCTAGGATGGAGTTTAATAGACTAAGGGATTTCTTAGTTCCAGTCCTTTTTATCCAAAGTGTTGTGAACATATGGCAGCCTAAACCTCATTAGATATTAATGAATAAATGGTGTTATATTTAAAACGAGACTTGAGTTCCAGAATTGCTTAGGACTTTCAGTAGCCCATGCCAGGTACCTACCTGCATTTTTAGACATCTGAAGTTCTTCAGGGTTTATCTTTGACTATTTGAAAAGACCTTGAGACACTTGGAAGGAACAAAATATTTTAAAATCTAAGTGAAATTGTGTTTCAGGGTAAATTTTGATTCTGAAATTAAGCAGTTACTGAACCAGTAACCTGAAATGGTGCTTCTTGTGGCACCTGCTCTAAAGCATGTTGGTGTCAGTGGAGCCCTGGGCTGGATAGAAGTGAACGTGGAGCTGGGCTGCTTCTATTAACTATCCTGCCAGAGAAAGTTGTTATATTTAATCCTGTGTGTTACATCTAAAGCTGTGGCTTTGACCCCTTCTGCTTTGCACCTCAGGCAGACATCATTCTGTGGGAATTCCACACAAAGCAATTACTTGCTCGGCTGGCCCGCCATAAAGGCAAAGTGGAAAGACTGGCCTTTTCAGTGACCAGCCTGTACCTCGTGTCACTGGGAGGCCAGGATGATGGCAGGTAATGGTTTTGCTTCTTGGCACAAGAGTTCTGACGAGCTGTAGGGCGTGGAAGGATGCTCTTAGGGGGCACTGACTCCTTCTGGCAGTCTGACTCTCTCCCATGTTGATGTCTCTCCTCGGTGATCCAGCTCTGTCTGATGGGAAGCTGAGTGGGCACTATGAGCAGAGTGCAGGGCATGGGGAGAGATGAAGGGAGCAGCTAATTTGGAAGCTGGTGTCATCACCTGGAAGCCTCATGGAGACTGCACAGTCAGTTGGCTCCACATACTGCCCTGAAGAAATGTAAACTCCACTGAGGGCTTGTTCTGACACAGACAAGTGGACACAAGAGTGGAATAAAAAGTTCTTTTGAATTGGATTTGACAAGTGGCCTAAGATAGGATTTGAGCCTTGCTCAGCAGAAGGGATTGGACCCTTGTTTCTGGAGCAGGGGCTGTAAACTGCAGTTCCATGCATTTGGGATAAAGTTGTTCCAGGGTAGAACCTCTAGGAAGTTAGTTTTGTTGTGTACCCTGGTGGGAACAGACTGCAGGAAAACTGGTTTTGTCTTGCTTTTGATTTTTAGTAATTTGTTCTAAAATAATGTCAAAAAGCAAACCTAAGCCCTTCCTTCTCCTGCAGCGTGGTTGTGTGGGACATTGGGAAGAGAGAGGCTGTCTGTGGGAGCCCTGCCTCGCCTCGCAGCGCGGGCAGTGCCACCGTCCTGTTGTGCTCCAACTCCAGAGATGAGATGTTTGTTACATCTGGAAAGTAAGCTTTTGTTTAGATGAAAGAAATGAGGGCAAGAACCTGAAGACCTTTTTCCTTTTACAGATAGTCCTTACTTAAATACAAGGAAACTTAAGCAGCTGAACACTCATTTTTTCTCTTTTTGCTCTGAATGGACCCACAAATATTCATCCAGCTTGTCTCTTTAAGGCATTTCTGTTTGGTCCACACATAACTGTTTTTAAGCAGCACACAGGGACCCACATGAATCACTTCTGTTCTGGTAGCTGGATTTTGTACTCAGCATTCCCCACGCAGTGTTTAAATATTTAGTTGCCAGTGTTTACACAAGAAAAGCAGTCAGTGAGTGGCTCTGAACAATGGTTAATTAATGTAGAAACAATGATATCTTGCAGGTCATTGGATCATCTCCTGTTCTCAACAGATGTGATGCACAGTTGGTCACTGGCTTGTAACAAAACTTGGTACAAAAAGTCACATTTCACGTGGATTTGAGACAGCCCCCACGTATCTAGCTTGATATTTAAACATGCTGAGGACCTGCACCTCTCTTTAAATCAGGGAAGGCTTTGGATAATTTTGGCTGCAGTTGCACTTACAAGTGCTGGTCTTTGCAATTTTAACTCTTTGTAAGAGCAACTGTGTGTAAAGATTTTATACTGGCTCCCATGTTAACCTCCAGCTCAATTTAACCAGGTTAGCCTCCAGCTTGATTAAATTGGGCTAGAAAATAATTGCCAGTGTTCCATTCAGTTTGTTCTAGGAAGTAAGATTTCCACAGTGCATGTCTCTTTGGGAAGCTCAGTGGCAAGGTGGTGACATACTCCTCCATAATCCTGATATATGTTTTTGCTGAACCTTTAGGATTTTTCATTTCTCTAGCAAAATTTCCCCTAAGAGACAGCAGAAAAGACAGAGACTTACTTTTGTCCTCTCTGATATTATTCTTTCCCCCCCCCTTATTAAAATTTTAGAATAATGTAGTCTCATAAGGGCTTTTTGATTGATCTGGTAGTGAAAGAACTTGGCTGTTTTGGTATGTATGGATTTGACCCCACTACATTCTTTCTTATAGTTTCACTGTTCGAATATGGGAACTGGATGTAAAAAATAGGAAGATCTGGCCAAGTGACTGCCAGACAGGGAGCCTGAAGAGAGTGGCCGCGTGTATTAAGGTAAGTTTCAGCCAAAATTATTTGGCTAAACTAAGAAACTCCCTACAGACTAGAGAAACACCACGAGCTTTTATAGTAATTCTGGAAATGCCAACTACAACTGCATGGTGGCAGTGAAGCTACTATGTGTTGGCTCGTGGCAGATGGTCTCCCACAGTTTCTTTATCCTGAGAAAGAGTAGTGTTTTTAATGCTGCTGTAGAGAAGCAGCATGTATTTTAATCACAGGCTTTAGCACCCGGAATATCCCACTTTTTCTTCAAAGTACTATCTAGATTTGGTTAGAAAATGTCTTGCATTCAGCAGTCTTAATAGATTTTTGAGCATGACAGGACAAAAACATTGGCTGCATACCCTCAGATTAAATCTTGGCAGGACACTGAAATAAAACTCTGCATCCCAGTGCTAGGTTTGGGACCAGTGTCTCACTACCCAGACCATGATCTCTTTTTTTATGCTTTTCCTATAGATGGCAGATGATGACAATTATTTTTATTTTGGCACAACAAGTGGTGATATATTGAAAATGAATACAAATAACAAACTGATGGTTGGCTGTGGACCCCAGAAGAAGTTGTTTGGCTTGGTGAGTAGCAGATCTGTGACTTGAATTTTTTCCTTATCCTCCTCTTTGTTAGTAACTGAAAGTAGGGCAACCTCCAGGAGCACCATGACAAAGTTAGTTCACAGACTAACCCTTTTTTTTGTGCTACTAGTCTTTGTGTCTTAGTCTTGATCCTGAAGTCTCCAACTGTTAGCTTGGCTTTGTTTTATTTGGCTCAGAATTTAGGTTTTACCTGAATCTCATGTGTCATCCCGTAGACTCTTATATTAAATCTGCTAAAAGTAATAAAAAGTGAAAAATAAGCATAAAAATTGAGTAATTCCAAAGAAGCAGATCTTGTTTGAGAGCAAACACAAGACTAACAGGAACTGTAAGATAAACTGAGCGGTCAGCCCCAAAGAAAAAGCTACTCTGGACTTGTTTCTCTAAACCTCCTGAACTGTGCTTGTACCAACACGTGTACATACAAACCATAGACATGCCCAGTTGAAATGTAGTGTTTCTTGCTTTACAAATCTCTGGGATAACATGGAGCCACTGAACTCTTTGAAATAGATTTCAGTGTTTATTCCAGGAGGTTGAAGAAGTGATGACTCATTATTCCCACTTGCAAGTAATTTAATTCTGTGTACATAGTAAGTTACAAGACTGTAGGTATCTGGTTTTCCTGATGGAAATCAAGTCTGCTGAAGGTGCACACCACCTCTTGTGGAGTGCTGAATGCTGTGAAGTCTTCCAGCAGTCACCCTGCATGGTTTAACATCCACACAGGACCCATGTCCCACCTGATCTCTGCTGTTCCTCATGCTAAGGTATTGATGATTGAATATCCCCTCCCTTTTTAAATGCTTGCATGCTTTGAGTCCTTTTGCATCTAGCAGTATGTGTGCCCTTCCTGGAGAACCTGGTTGAAGCCCCACAAGATCCTGAACTCCCTTTAAGGGGGAGGGAAATGTGCCAAATGCCTTTGAAACAAAACTTCGCAAAATACATACTCCTGAGACCATCACTAAAGTCACAATCAGATGGGGTCATCAGCAGGGTGCTGTGAAATTTGGGGGGTGAAGGAGGGCCTGGGGCCTCTTAGAGAAAAGCAGAGGCTTAAAGCCAGGCCACAACCCAAACGATGATGTGAGAAATTTTACCGTAAGGCAGACCCATTGGAACCACAGTTTGTGGTACAGGCCTTTGGAGCATGTTGAGCTTCAGCTGACGCTGCTTCTCCTAGCGAAACGCTGAAGAACAGGACCTTTGACTCTGCAGGAGGGTGGCAAGATGCTAGGGAGAGGAGAAGATCCTGAAGTGGATCTCTTCACAGCTGCCTGCCAGCCTGGTGGATGACACCTGAGCTGAGAGGCATGAATTTGAAAATATTTAAATTAGTGTTATTTAATGGCAGCTACTTAGGATCTACCAATGGTTGTTTTGGGAGAAGGGAGGGAAGGGAGACATTCACATTGGGTAGAAATAGATAGAAAAGTAGTCCCTCCAACATCGTCCTTTATCCTGTTGCTTAGAACAAACATTTCTCTTCCAAGACAGGCTTTTCAGTCACAAACTCCTCCTCTTGTTTGCTTCCTCTCTGCTCTGTTCCCTCACTCTTACAATGCAGTTTCCAAATACCCCAAAATGGAAATTCATCAGGTCAAGCCTGTATTGTTGCAGTCAGTGAGAAGGTGCTAGTACATTTTTATCTCCAGCAACTGTCAGATCCACTTTCATATTTTCCAATTTTCCCTTCCTAGCTCCATCCTGTGATTCCCTTTCCACCCACCCCTTGCACATCTCTGCACACAAATAATACCTTGTCACTAGACTGTCAAGTCCTCACTGAGCACACGTAGGATCTAATGTTTTATGGCAAAAATTTCCAGTTGTAGCACAGCTGTCAATGCTGGAAGAAGCATTTTGCAGATGTTTTTTCAAGTCAAAACCACAGCATTTATTAAAAAAAAAAGTATTTGCATCCTTGCTTCTACACAATTTGGAACATCACAGTGCTAACCCTTGGAGAAGTGTTGATGTTTATTCCCCCGCCTGCCCCCTTGGACCTGTATGTATTTCCCCAGTCATCTTTTGTACCTTTCTTGAAAACGTACCATGTAGTAATGAGTAACATAAGTTCTCCCTTCTCTGGCACTGCAGAGCAGACCTGCTGTCCAGCTTGTTTAGCAGTAAGCCATGCAAGGTGGGCATGACATTCCAAAACATGGCTTTGGGACACACACTGCCCCTTCCAACCAGGAACCTTCCAGTGGTTCAGCTATCCTAGCCCCCTCCCTGTCGAACCATTTTCATCACTTCATTTTCATCACATTCATAGGAAAGGCTGAGAGACCTGGGGCTGTTTATTCTTGAGAAGAGAAGACTGAGAGGGTACCTTGTTAATGTCTACAAATATCTGAAGGGTGGTGGTCAAGAATGGGCCAGTCTCTGTTCAGTGGTGGCAGGACAAGGGGAAGTGGCACCAAGTGACAGCACAGGAAGTTCCACCTCAACATGAGGAGGAACTTCTTTGCTGTGAGGATGACAGAGCCCTGGGACAGGCTGCCCTGAGAGGTTGTGGAGTCTCCTTCTCTGGAGACTTCCAGGACCCATCTGGACACGTTCCTGCATGACCTGCCCTGAGTGTTCCTGCTGCAGCAGGGAGGTTGGACTTGCTGATCTTCAGAGGTCCCTTCCAACCCTGCGGTTCTATGATTTTAATTGTGCACAAACATAATCCTGTACTTCTGAAAGCCTTCTTCACCAGGGAACTGCAATCCAGTGGCACACCATGAAACTAACCCTGGAATTCACAGCCCACTATGAGCTTATCTTTAAAGAGATAGTTTAGATACTGCTTGGCTGAGGAGATGTTTATTGGAAATACGTTGGATCAGCCTTAAGGGAACTTTGCCTTTAGATACATAAGAATGTGTTTATAACATATATAGACATGATCTGAAGATTTCTTTGTTTCTGTTCTGAAGAGGAGTGGCAGAATACTTAACTGATATGATGAAGCAACTTGTTTTCCCTCTACATGGAATTAAGTTGCATTTCTATAATGTCCATAAATACTGGAATAAACAGCAACATTAATTTTTATCTTTGTTGCAGGCTCGAAGAGCTATAGGGCAGCCATTCAGATGCAAAGAGGGATATGTGGTTACAAATGCATTTTCAGAACTAGTTGGAGTGGTTTGCATAGTAAAAAAGCAAACAAAAAATTCTTAAGGAGGTGCACTGGAAGAGTTCATAGAGCACTCAAGAACTCTGCAAGAAGATCAGAATGGGACAAAGAGCAAGTATCCCCGCTGGGAAGGGAATGGGCAGGCTGGATTTTTGGTGGTGTTTTTATTTATAATCATACTTCAAAGCCATGGTTTCTTTTAGTAAGAAGTAAATAATGAATGGTGATATTTTTAGCCTCCCACACTAGACTCTACATTTAATCTACCAGAGGACTGGCAGTATATAAAATAGAGTATTCATCACATCATTAATGTGAACTGCTCGACTCTGTGAACAAGTGCAACTTAGAAAGCTCTCTGTTTGCTCAGGGTGATTGAAAGAACAGGCTGGAAAAAAAAGAAGCACAATTGTCAAGGTTGAAATCAAACTGGTGATTTTGAGAGCCTGGCAATCAACCCTGGCCACTTACGGATTTTCTTTTTTTCTATCTTAATAACACCCGCTTCCCTCTCAGGTTGAAGAACTGAAGAGAATAATACCTTGGAAAATGAAAGCAGTCTTGGCTGTGCTGCAGAAACTCTAATTTATTAGCAAGTAGCAGGGAGCTGTAATCAGATAAACTGCGTAGTCATATGTGTGATTCCTAATGCCACCAGCTGCCATAATGGTGAACCCAGAGGACATCTAAGGTGGAAGTATATTACAGGAAAAACTGCAAAACAGTAGATCAAAAGGCAGTTGATGGGCCTGTGATAACAGGGGACTCACAAACTGCTGCCAACACCTTGTAGAAAATTTTCAAAAGCATTGTTCAGAAACAGTTGTGCTTGTGGATCATATTTCTAATGAAAAAGAATCCCTTTGTTCTCATGCTTTTGCTGCGAATATTTGCATGAAACCTGGCTTCCTGCCTGGGAGTGTTGTGATAGCATGACATCAAGCCCTCTCTGGAGGTTGTGTTTTTCAGTCATCAGCCCTGGTATTACAGGAGACTCTGGATGTGCTGCTGCTGGAGACAGCCTAATGAAGAGATTCAGTGCAATTAATTTACAAATCAGGATTTTTTTTTCCCTTAAATTTTTTCCCCTTCAGCCCACATTGATTTGATTGTGAAGTTAAATAGTTCTTAAGCTGATGTGTAGGTGGGTGCAGGGCTACTTGGGAGTGCCAGCTCTGGAATGCCCAGTTAAGTATATAGTGCTTTATTTTTTTCCTTCAAAAAGTATAAGGAAGACTTTAAAAACAATTAGTTCCTTCTATTTGGTTAGATAATTGAACCAAAGTAATTTTTCCAAATCCATCCTGCCCTGTCAGTGTGGCTTTTGCAACATCCTTCTCAGTCCTAGAGTAGCACACATGTCCATTTTGTTTTCTGTTCTTTCTTCGCTTCCTCACTTGTCTTCTTTACAGCTTCAGCCATTTCCACACAGACATTCACCACTTTCTGGCTTTCATAAACACTCTGTAAGTGTTTAATCCTGAAAATGTACTGGGTTTAGGCCAGATTGATGCTCAAAAAACCATGCTGGGTGGTGCTTCTTAGATGTCAAACTTTATCAGAATGTGCTGACACCTCTATTTGTTCGCAAATCACAAGGGAAGTACATGGCAGTTATTTATTCCTAAATAATAAATTCAGAATTATTCTGATTTGCTTCTTGCTTATTACTTGAGAATTCACTTCTTCAGACTTTCACAACACTAAATGCTAGAGATGTTTTCTTTTTCCCAGAAAGAAAACCTCCACCAAACAGAAATTGTTCCTTCCACATAATGGCTCTGTGAGCTCAGGCTTCAGAAAAGAAATACTGTAATGTTGTGAAACTGCTGGTGTTATCACAACAGTTGGCTAATAGCCCAGGTAGGGGCAAATGTTGCAGGAGTCTTATGTTGCAACGTAAAATGTCATGTTCAACAGATTTCTCACATGTCACAGGGACCCTGTAGCTGCCACCAGCCCTCCTGGCTGATTTGGAACAACTGGTGAGTTTCTGCTCTCCTGGTGAGAGTGGAAGTGCCTCTTGTATGTTCCTGCTTCCTGACAGAGCTTAGTTTTCAGTCCAAGTTTTGATGGAATAAAGTTCCTTAATTTCAATTTTTTTTTCCCCTTTCCATTTCACTCATGTATGTGTTCCCCCAAGCTAGTGGGGATATTTTTCTGGGTAAGAATATCAGGGTTTCAACCCACAGAAGTAGTTTCACCCTTCTTACTGCCTATTTTGGTGTCTTTCAGGTTTTTAAGAATTAATCTCTTGTCTTGTATACAGAAAAGTAACTTTACTTCACAGGTAACAGACCTGAAGCAGAGACTTAAAATTGTGTGGCAGGGCAAAGAACTGGTTTTGTTTGTTGGTTCAGTGTGGTTTTTTTTTTACTGTACTGTGGTACTTTATGCATGGAAAACCATTTCTCCTTTTTCTAATGGCTGCCCTCCAGCTGATCTACTCATCTTAGTAAACAGCAGAACCCCATGTTGATGATGGGCTACCTAGTTTTCAAAGCTTTTCTGTGACAAATGTGTTTTATTGCTCATAGGTGTGAGATGGGTTTCCATCTTGCAGAGAGGGAGAGAGGCCTGAAACACAGAGAATCTGTCCTAAAAGCAGCTGTAAGGAAGGACATTTAGACTGAGTTTTGTCCTCTGTTGATTTCGTGCCTGATAGATGGAGAATCAGGGGAAAGAGAAGTGGGGGTACTAATACACAATGCGTGTTGCTTGCTGGAATGAGGTAAGGGTGTGAAGGCTCATACATGGTCCCAGCTGCTCTGAAGGATTTATGATAGGGTTATTTACTTGCTGCTTTAAGACTTGTACCGTAGTAGTTCACGTACACCTGTAATTAATAACTTTCTTCTCCAGTCCCCCTCTGGAGAGTCACTTGTTAGCCTAGGTCAGTCCAAGAACACTGATAAAGCCATATTTGAGTGACAGAAGCGTGGCAGAGACTTGTTTGTGCTGTTCAGCGTGGCTGCAGCACTCACATCTCTGCTTCCACCCAATTGTGTTTTCATCCTGTTTTCTCCTAGGGAGTCACAGCTTTGATTTTGCTGAAGACAGGAGATTTTATAGTCGGCACCGGCGAAGGGATTGTAGCTCTCTGTACAGGCACAAACTACAGAGTCATGAAGTGAGTTTGTAGATGGGAGAATCAGGAGTGTAGAGGTGACACTTGCCCCAAAGAGTCACACTGGAAGAACCAATCATTTATACCTAAAGGCATAATCCAAATAACTCTCAGGTTTTCAGTCGTGCAGACAAAATAGACAGTATGGTTCCAGCATAATGCAATTGAAGCAAACTGAAAATTACTCAGAAGTGAATTGCCCTGCTCTTCTTCCATTTAAATAAGCATTGTTTCCTTTTAGACATTGGGATTCAGACCCTGAATTGATGCCAAGAGAGATGGGTCTCTTGAAGTCAGTGAAGTGATGCTTACTGATGCCAGCAAAGAGTAGTGTTTGCCATCTAGAAAAGGGTTTGTTGGAGGACATGGGGTTGTAAAGGAGGGCTCCACTAATTCTACAGGCACATGCCTGGAAGTGCTGGAGTACACACAGGGCTTTTTTCTGCATGCAGAATAGAAAGCTGCAGGCATCATTTCCCCATGTGTGATTTGAGAACCGGGCTTGCCACTATTTATTTTGCGTTATTTGAGTGGCCAACTTCAGCATCCAGCTCTGCAAGCTTCGTTTTGTACAATTGAAACTATTCCCAGAAGATCTAAACTGTTTGGAAATAGTCTTGAATATGGGATAATAAGTCCAGTTGAGTAAGAATACCAGCAAAGATGCTGTTTCTTTACACCCTGGTCCAGAAAACAAAGACTCCAAAGCTCTGCAGGCCCTGGCAGAGTGGCACGTGGGACAGGCAAGAGCATCTAAAGTGTTAACATGTGACTGGGAATAACATTTTAGTCCTGACCATGCTCTTGCATATTGGTATCACAGCCTAATATGGAGCTTTTTTGAGAAGCAGGGAAAGTCAAGTCTCTATAAAGTCAGGGGAGAGGGAAGCTAGAATCTAAGGTCAGTGTCAGGCCAAACATCTGCTTTCTCTTAACAGGAAAATTGAAGTTCATGGTGCTGTCACTTCCCTGACATGTAGAGGTCAGGGTTACCAGTTCTTTGTAGGGACAAGTGAGTGCCAGATTTATCAAGTTACCTACACTGAGTTTAAAGAGGAGCTGTTTGTTGTCTGTCACAGCGAAGCCGTCCACGACATCGTTTTTCCTTTGTGAGTATAACTGGCTGGGATGCTTTTGGCAGGAAAGAAGTTTGAGTAAGCTACAAGTAAGCTCAGGATACCTGAGTAAACACCTTTTAACCAACAGGAACCCAATGACTGTTAACATCCTTGTGGGATGATTTCCACTGCAACCTACCAGTGAAGTGTGAGGTTGATGGTGAGCAACTGCTTGAAAGCAGAAAACAACAATTCAGTTGGAGAACTGGAGAAATCATTGCTCTACAGAAAGAATTCTAAATTAAAAGACTGCAGTGAATTCTGTTTGGGTAAAGGCAGCAATGGCAACCTCCCCCTTTTCTCCTGGGGATGGTGCTGAGACTCCAGCCTCTTTGCCAGCAGTGGGAATCCTGGAAGTCTGCTTTTGTGTCCCTTGTGGCAGCTAGAGCCTGTAGAGGTGTCTGCTTTTCTACCCACCTGTGACATCAGCTGAAACCTGAGTAACAGCTTTTCAAAGAGGCCTTTTGGTTCTCTCAGCCTCACAGTTTCATGTGTGACAGTGTGGCATGTTATGTTAAATTCTAGGCTTGGGATGAGAGATTCTGGGTATACTGGTGTGTTTTCTGCCTGCTTTTGTCTTGTGAACAGACAACAAATGTTCCCTCTTCTTGTATTGGCTGAGTCTCTGCACTGGGACTCTTGATTAAAAAAAAAACCCACAATAGATCAGTTGTTTCCTCTCCAAATAGAGAAGGGGAGTTTGATCCCAATTAAAGTTGTTATTTTTGATATGTTGTTACTGCATTGCTTCTTGGTGCAGCACAAAGATCAAATCATATCAAGGTATAGCCAAGTGCACAATGCAAGAAGCCCTTCTCCCCGTTTGAGACCAGCCTGAAAAACCCACATTCCTCTAGTTTAATAAGAAAAACCCTTTGGAGCTTTAGGGTGATCTGATGCTAATGTACCTGACTGACACATCTGCGTCACAGGTATCTGGATGAGCTGGGTTTAGTGATGATTCTAAGAACTACAGGACTACATCCTTGCATGCATGTTTAAACTTTTTATCTATTAAGTGCTCTTGAACAGAGTGTGTCACTGATTGGGAAGTGCAGGCTTGGTTTTCCGTATTTCAGGATGCTTCAATTGCTGATGTTACCCTGCTTTATAAAGCACGTGCACAAGCTGGGCTTGAAGGGGGCTGCACTTTTGCTGTGCCAGTTTTCTCTATCCAGCTTCATCTTCCCAGGCATTGATAGTGATGTTGAACAAAAGCTCGTGGTGCCTTTCTAGAGTTCCCTTTCTATCATATCCCTAGGATGTATGGTTTAGAGTGTATTTCAAAGCATTCAGTCCCATAGCTTTTGAAATGCTGCAGGTCTTTTTTTATTCAAACATGTATAACAAGTATATTACGAGCAGGCTTTTGCCATCATTTCTGTTGCCTTCAGCAATGTTGAATAGGAATCATCCAGTAAGTGAGATAAGAAGTGACATCTTCACAATATGAGGCTGCTGTTGGTCTCTGATGTTAAATCTGGGCAGTCAGCACCTCTACACCTACTTTTGTGTCTATTCTGTACAGCACGTGAAGTTGTTTTAGAGAAGGAGTATGGGAAATAAATGTCACAATTAGGAAAAGTAGAAATAATTCTCTTTGTTTCACTCTAAATGTTCTTGAAAATGAATCTTTGAGTAGAAAGCAGGCTAAGAGAATTTTATGTGAGAAAGGTGATCCTAGGAAAAGGCTTTTGTCTTAACCTTGGGAATCCCTGTTGGGAAGATTACGGTGGCACGTTAGAAATAGCTAGGCTTTGAAGCATGATTTAACACTTGACAAAGAAGAATGCATTTTCTGTATACCCCTCCTTATTATCTCTCCTCTCTGAATTTTCCAGTGGAACTCCTGACCTGTTTGTTACCTGCTCCAGAAATGATATCCGCGTGTGGCTCACCCCAGAAAACAAGGAGCTCGTACGGATCGTCAACCGCAACATGACCTGCAATGCTGTAGAGGTTATGAAGGATGGGGAGAGCATCATTTCAGGTAATGGTCAGCCCAGACCCAGGACCGAGCCCTGTCTTCAAGTGCTGCCAAATTTAATGAACATCAGGATGTTAGAATGAAGAGAGGATTAAATTAGGAATGGGTTTCAATTCAGTTAATTCCTTGGTCTGATGGACTTTGCTCACAGCCCCCACTACCCTGCTGCTGTAGTTACGAGGTACGTGGAAGGCAAGGTTTGGAGACTTTGCTTTATTTGTCAACTCCAGCAATTCAGAATGCTCTTCAGTCTTATTCAAAGACTTAATTCTAAAATATTGAAGTATGCAGCAGCTTAACCTGTGATGTATGTAGAGCACCTTTTGTGTCAAGCTGCTACCCATTACCATGCTTCCAAAGGAATAACTGCAGTCTTAAACCTTGCAGAGGAATCTCTGTCCTAGAGCAATGATGTCCCTGCATTGGTACCAAACCAATTTGTCCATAGCCAGAATCAGAAAAGAATTAAATTTTAATCTTTTATGTGGGACTACATCTCTGCAGGCTCATCTACAGTGCAGTGGTTTTCACGTGTCTACTGGTGATCTAGCAGGATGAGCCTTACCAAGGAAGTTAACAAAAAAATGGGTCCATTTGGAGAGGAAAAAGAGACAATAATCTGAGGAAAGTCTGTGTTCCTGGGTAATCTGTTTTTTTCAATTCATCAGGTTGGAGTGACGGGACAATCCGTGCCTTCACGCCACAGACTGGGCGGGTGATGTACGTGATTATCAACGCCCACAGCCAGGAGGTGTCTGCCCTTGCCGCCACCAGTGACTGCAAGCAGATCATTAGTGGAGGAGGTGAAGGGCAGGTAATTTTTGCTTAAAAACCTGGGGCAGGCTCATGCTCTCATCACAGAATTGTCTGTAACTGCTTAGTTAGAAAGGGAGCTGTTCTTATCTTGTGCTGGAGCAGAGGACTGAGTTTGAAAATGCTAGCTTCTGATAGATGCAGATCTCTTGCTCTGAGAGGGCATAATGTAAAACAATGCCTCATTTCTTCTGGCTTGGGAGGCATGGAAATCCTTCTGCTACAGAATATGCTCTAATCCTTGTTCATTTGTCTCTCCCCTATATTTATCTGCATTAGTCATTGTCTTCCAATCCTCTGTGTAACTCCTCTAGCACAGAGTGTGCTTTCTTTCTGCCTTGCTTGGGCAGGCCTAGTCCTGTCGAAATTGACCTGCATTCATTCACTGAATAGCACAAAATTCACTTTGTATTCCTAGAGTGTCTGAGGAATAACTTCCTAATTTTCTGGGATGGTACTGTGTGGTTTAGGTGGTGGTGTTAGTAAAACACTTTAATAATAACAACTCAGTTTCTAATACAATTATGAAAACATTTCAATACAAACAACAATAAAAATCAGAAAACATGTTGTAGGCTTCATACCTGTGCTCTTCAACACGTTTTTTCAGGCAATGCAAACCAAACAGCCTGTACTTTGGCCACTCCATGCACTTCATATAGATGTGGCCCTTTTCAATCTGTAAAAGTGATTTAAACACTCATTCCTAGTGTTTAAATAATTTAAACACAGGGGGTCTTATTTTTATTCAATAATCAGACTCAGAAGGCTCACATTCAGATTCTTGCCTTGCTTTGGACTTCCTCTCTGCAGTCTGGCAAACACTCCAAACCAGACATTTATGTGTGTATGGATTCCTGACTGATTTAACTGCCCTGTGCTTTTTGTCCCCTGATCTCAAGTGTTCAGGGTGCTGTGCTGCAGATGGCAGGGGAAGTCTTGAAGAGTGAGGCATAGAAATAGATCTTCCAAATCTCAGGCTAATGCCTTAATCATTGAACCATCTTCCTGAGCCACTCTGCACTTCAGCTCTCCTGTAGAGCAGTGATGGCAGCACTGCCTTGTCTCACTGCATAGAGACATTAGAGATGATGAGCCACTTCAACTCTTCACTAATAAAAGAACAGTTAAGTACCTTAGATGATTAACGCTGGAGGATGCAGAAGACAGAGGACCTAGATTCTGTATCAGCACTCAGAGAATGGCACAGGCTCTGCTTAGCTTATCTCTGAATATAAAAAGACAGCTGAGGCAGGGTTAAAGCTAAAGGTTGATTAAGAAGTGAGAACTGCAGGGGAGCACTTGCAGTGTTCATTCAGAACACAAAAAAGGTGTTCTGAAGTGCTTAACAGTTCTGCCCAAATCTGAAACCCTGGGACTTTCACAATTGCTTATGGGCTCTGGATACTCCAATCATTTAACAAGTGGGAACTGGACATCCAGATCCCATAAGTAACTCAGCATCAGACTTAGAAAATGTGGAAGATCAGCTCTCTACTTTTGATGTCAGTGTCTAAATCTTGAAATTATCACTAGGATATGACCTTAGCAGAATGTAAAAGCAAAAAGATAAGGAGTTTGGCACTTGTAGGACAGTAAATGCAGGGTGTCAAGGATCAAATCCTCAAAGCAGGAAGTTTTTTGCAGTTACCACCACTGGGAAAAGAAGTGCTTCCAGGCACATTTCACATCAAAAGTTGAAAGAGCTGTTTTGTATTTACTTACTGGCATAATATGTAGCACAAATAGCAGATAGCTTTTGTATATTCCATCGCAGAAGCCTTGCTCTTTGATCTTTAAAGCACCAGTGAAAATATATCATGGGCTAGATGCTTTTTTCCTGATCAAGACATGGGTTAACTAAAGCATGGGATAGTGGGAACTTGGCAAAAATAAGGTCTGGGGTTGATGGTCACAAATGCCTGAACCAAGGCAATTTCAGTTCAGTTTTACAAGTCAGCTGCACGAATAACGCGCAGGGAAACAGGGACAGGCTGTGGGGATTTGGTTCCTGAGTGTGTTACAGGAGAAACATGGAGTTAAGGAAAGCCAGAGGCATCCTCCTGCACTTGGTCAGGACCAGGGGGTGCAAGAGCAGATATTTGTTGCTGCTTTTCAGGTGAGGGTCTGGGAGATTAGTGAAAAGACTCAGAAACTGGTGGAAGTTATGAAGCAGCACACAGCTGGTGTGTCCTGCATTAAGATTACGAAGAACGACAAGGAGTGTGTCACAGCCAGCCTGGATGGATCGTGCATCATCTGGGATCTTGTGTAAGGAGACAGATAAGTATTGCAAGGCACTGAAAGTCCTGGTCATGTGTCTCTTGTGTCACTGAGGCCTATTTGGAACACCACATAGTGAGGAGGAGGGGAAAAAATGTATCAGGAAATAAATAAAAATAAAAATTATTATCAAATCGGGAAATGCAGAATATCCAATACTAGAAACTTTTCAGAAAAGCTGAGAAAAAAGTTTGTCTCTAGTTCTTTACTTGTATTGGATTCTGCTTGGCCAAGGGGGTGGAGCAGGTGTGTTCCTAAGTTTCCAACTAGCTCCATTTTCTAGCACTGGATCACTCTTGTTGAGCTGTTGGAGATCTGCAGACATGACACATTGTGGTAAGGCTAAGGGAATGTTTGCATAGGGAATAGAACCATGGAAAGCAGTCTGGATTTAAGAATTTTATTTCATATGAGAGCAGATGAAAAGTCCTACAAGGCAGCTGTGATGGGGAGCAAAACTGATGGCCACAGTAGACTTCATGAAACCCTGAACTCAGACCAACACCTGAAAATATCCAAGTAGAAAGAGGGATGTGATATTTGGCACAGGCAGAGATAGTTCAAGCCATCAGCATTAATTTTTTTACCCTATTGCTCTGTCCTCTTTTGGGGTGTTTTGCAGGCATTTTGTAAGAAAACAAATGATTCTAGCCAAAACATTGTTCAAATGTGTGTGTTACTATCCTGAGGAGTTCCAGATACTCACCGGTGGGACTGACAGAAAGGTAAGCAAAACTGCAGGAACTGGCTCTTGTTAGGTGAGGAAGCTCCTGTCCCTCCATCAAAGGCTTTGAGAGGACAGTGCTGAAATCTGTGTGCTCCTCATCCCCAGCTGAGCTTTCCTCTCTGCTCTCTAGATTGGCTTCTGGGAAGTGATCGATGGCTCTGAGGTCCGAAGCGTGGAGGGGTCTGCATCAGGTTCCATCAATGGGATGGACATCACCTCAAGTGGGACACACTTTGTTACAGGTGAGTGGGTGGATGGAACTAGAAGAGAGGAGGTCATAGTAAGAGCAGGAAAAAGAAGGCAGTGGACCAAGGATCTCAGTAAAGAGGAAAAACTAAGAGGAGGGGTTAGCTAAAGGAGAAAAGAAAATTAATCACTGAAGGTTAAATACTTTTAAAAAGGCTGTAGTTGAGGCTTGGAAGATACTATGGTTCAGTCTTTCAAGATGTACTTGTGAAGACAAGGTTTAGGTGTCTCCGAGGGAAGAATACAGGGTTACACCTTGCCCCACTCCTCATTAAGTTCAGTGGGGTTCACTGTGCACTTGAATTATTTGTTCCAGAGCGCTACTCCAGTAGCCTGGCAGTCTGTCTTGGTTTGCAAGTGGGAATGACTCCAGACTCCATCTAGCCTCAGGCCCACATGCTTCCCACCATTGTGACATATCTTCTGGGAGCCTAGCATGAGCATGGGCCAGCCATGGTATCATGTTATGAAATACAGTGAAAATCCACAGATCTGATGCCAGCACCAATGCTTCGGGATTAACCTCCTAAATCAATGTTGGTTAGGAGTCTTTTGAAGGCTCTATGTCATTGGTACCAATTGCTGACCACAGCTCACTGTGGTCTGCTGATGCTGGTCCTGAGCAGTCAATTGGACACTGACTCTACTGCAGTTGAAAAGAAATGTTTGCTGTAATGCCCAAGGCAGTGGATCCCTCTCTTCCCAAATTAAATGAATGCCAAAGTATTCCCTGCTTGTGATCTGGGAACAAAAGCAGCAGAACTGTGTGAAATAATTTGTTCTTCCTTGGTGCCCAATGCAGGTGGTGATGACCAGCTGGTGAAGCTGTGGAGCTACAACGAGGGTGAAGCGACTCATGTTGGGGTGGGTCACAGCGGCAACATCTCCCGTGTCAAGATCAGCCCCGGGAACAAGTACATCGTGAGCGTGAGTGTAGATGGTGCCATCCTGATCTGGAAGTACCCAGACCTGCAGTAACAGCTGCCACAGGAGCTGCTGGGCTGCTGCTTCCTTGGCCAGGCCTTTTCTGCCCACTGTTGCTGTTTTAAAGCTTTTGTACTGTTACTCTATTTGTACTATTTTTATACCCTCTGGCATGCATTTACCCCACCCCTCAGATTGCCTTTCTAGCAGTGCATAAGTAGGTCTGTTTTTTTCAGGGGATGGTAAGAATTTGCTGTTCCTTTTAGATTAATCACTTCAGAAAATCCTCTGGGCTGTTGCTGCAACATGTGCATGTTGTTACTGTCATGTTTCCTGGTAGTCTTCTAGCATAGTCTTACTTGTATGTTTGCTCGTTTGTGGTCTCTCTCTTGCTTTCATGTGGTCTCTTTCTGTTCCCTACCCCCTTCCATCCCTTCCTTTAATGAATAGCTTGTTGTGCAAATTCAGTCTTCTGTGTTCATTTTAATTTGTCTGGTCCTGATTAAGGAAAAAGCCCTCAGCTCCAACTAAGGCATTTAACTGGGAAGCTCTTTTGAGTCATGCTTTCAAATCAGTGTTCTCAAAGGAATACAAGGATGCTGGGACTTCTTCATTTGCAGTGTCCAATTTAAAACTCTCTTCAGGGGCCTGGTTTTCAAGAGTGAGAGTGCAGTCCTTTCCAAAAATGCCTGGATGTTTCTAACTAGACACACTCAAATTCCTGGTCATTGGCCTGATTTTTCAAGCAGGCTCCAAATTTGCATGAAATATATACTTTGTCCAAGAATGAGTCCCTGGTGTCTAGTATTCAAACCAACAGCTCTCAAGGTTTGTTTAAAGATGGGTGTAGGCAGCCAACCTGTGAAGTGTTGGAGGTGAAGTCAGTATTTCTTTTGCAGGAATTGAAGGCCTGTGAGAATTGTGTCATAAATTAAAATGGTAGCAAAATGTTGCATTCCTTAGTGTTAAGGCTTACAGGTAATTTAGTGAACTAAGATAATGATTTAAAGGCAGTGTCAGTTAATTAGTGTCAAACCTGTATTCATAGTATTAGCTGTTCTGGTAGGCACAGGGGGATGCCAATTCAAAGGTATGATTGCTTATTATTCTTTATATGCCATCAAAAATGTTTCTGGCTCATGGCACAATCCTTCTGGACTGGCTCCAGGGGTATCTGTGCATACATGTTGTCTATCAAATACAATGCAACTCATACTCCTTCTGGTTGAAATATCTCTGCTGTTATAAATGGAGTCTTGACTGAAGGAATTAAGTTACTCCTTCCTCTTTTTCTTTGGAGTCCAGACTTGATGCTATGAAGGGATAAACACCTGTCAGGTTTTACGAGCTCTGCAGCAAATCTCACTGTGGTTTGCCAGGCAGGATCAAACCACCAGGATGTGGGACAGACAGGCAGAACTTCTGTGCTGCTGCTGAGGGAATAAAACAGCAGTGGAGCATGTGAGAGCCAACAGGGACATCCCAAAGATCTTTTCACCACCACCTCTCCCTGCTCTGTGAGTGCAGGGTTTTGAGATGCAGATAATTGTCCAGCTGCCAGCAAAGGAATTCCATCACACTGAACCTGACCTTACAGGTAGGAAGGGAATCCCAGTACCCACTGGGCAGCTGAAGTCCTGTGTTGGTGTGGCTGCCTCTGGAGTGTGAGGACCAAAGCAAACCAGGCTGTCCTGACTAACCCAGCCACCATCACCTCTGCCTCTGTGGAGCACAGGGGCTGGCATGCTCAGAGTGAGGGTTGGCAAACCACACTTTCTGTTGGTGACAGCCAGCCAGGAGGCCCAGGCCCTGAGTCTGTCCCCTCACAGACTGGCCAACGGGGAGTGCAGAGCTTTTGGAGACCTCCTGTCCTGCACACCTCTTTGCACTGTGAAGCTTCATCAACCCCACACCAAACTGTAAGCACCAACATGTGCTGCAGAACAGTTGGGTGGTGCAGGTGAGTTCCCGGGGTGGTGCTGGTGCATCCCGGTGGTGGCACAGAAGGGACACTGCTCCCTCACACCCCCACCTCGTGTCCACACACAGAAATGGGCCATCGCACCCTGGTGGCTGTCGGGGTAGGTGATGTGGGACTCTGCCCCACATACTGTGTAGGAGAAAGCCCAGCAAGCCTGGGGCTGCAGGTGTCTGTGTGACCCCTCAGTCCATCCCTGTATTTGGAACAGACGGGCTCCCTTGGCTGAGCTGAGCCCTCGCAAGCTCATCTGCTTTCCCAGCACTGCTCTTCTCCATGGCAGCTCAGCTCACTCGTTCCCCCAGCACAACCTTGCCCCTCCCAGCACATCCTACACACACTCCAAGCTCCTCACCAGCACAGCAGGGTCCCCAGGGAACTACACGAGCTTTACAGATGGATGTGACCTACATGAGGAACACCAGGAAGCAGACAGGGAGAGCAACCTGTGCTGCTCTGCCACCAGAATCAGGTTGTGTTTGGGTAACACAAGCTGCAGTCACAAATTCCCCCATTATGCACCAGCCTGACAACAGGCATGTTGTCTTTCCCAGTGTGACTGTGTTCATTATACTGTCATTAGTCATGAAAAGCAGCTCAGTTAATGATGGAACTCTAGGCCCAGACACCACCATGACATGCTGGGGAGTTTTGGTGCCCCCCTCTTCACCAAGGCAAAGGCTGCAAATGCTGCTCCAGGTGCATCAACATAAGCAAGGAGGTATCACTGGCAGGTGGAATGTTTGGCACCTGCTCCTTACACCTTTTCCCTGTATCCAGCTGAATCCTCACCAGGACAGAAAAGCACAGGCACGGGGGCTGCACTGAGCTCCCTTTCGGTGTCTTGATCAACTCAGTGATGCTAAAGTAGAGTTAAATTCTGGTCCCTGTGGCCCTGGGGGAGTGGGAATGAAGGGAATATCAGTGAAAATCAGGCATGTACTGGATTTGGAAATGTCTGCATAATCCTTATTGTTAGTGAGGGGGGGAGAAAAGTGAAGTTCAAGACTCCAGTGATGTGTGACTTGGGGAAAGCTGTCACCAGCTCCACAGCACAGAGCCCAGGGCTGGCAGAGCCAGGTTCTTGCTGTACCATCAGTTCACAGCACAATGCTGGGAGCAGAGCCCCTTGCCACTAAGAATTTGGCTTCCAACCTCCTGGCTTCCATCCCCCTCTCAGTGAGCTGGTTTCTTGTGGGCTGCAGCCGCAGGGAACTGCTGCCATACAGCCCTGCAGCAAGGCTCACATCACCCTCCTGGCCTCCTGTTCCCAGCCCAAAATCTTCCTGGTAAGGCTTTTTAACACACTGTCATCTGAAGTTGATGGTTTTTTTGTGGTTGCCCATCCCTCAGCACTTTGGGGTGTCTGCTTGTGTGGAAATGGGCACCCCAGTGCTTGTCCCAGAAGGTCCCTGATCATGATGGGAGAGGGGCAGCCCAGTCCTGAGCTCAACAAGTCCCTGTGGAATTGAGCTGAGCTGGACCTTGCCGGGAAAGGTCACAGCACAAACATCTTGCTGGAGTTTGCAGGGCAAAGCCATCATAGCACCACAGCTCTAGAGAATGGGATTTGGAGGTTAATGGGAGACATCCCCTTGACCTGCTGGTGATGAGCAAGGCATCTCCACTCATCTTCTGGGGCTTTGACCACTGCCCTGGGCTGCTTCCAATCACTCTGGACCTTGCAAGTCCTTTAAAGGTTGTTGGTGTGCATCTGGGCAGTTTCCCCACCTAGCCAGGCTTTCCTCCTGGCCTTGCAGCGGGGCACTGGGGGACAGGGGCAGGCTGGGGTTGGCCAAACCTGCAGAGAGGGTTCTCCTTTCTAGCACATCTCAGCAGCTCTGGCCAGCCAGGCTGTGGATGCCTGTGAGGAGAACCAGTAGCTCATGGCCACGGCCATAGCTTTACAGAGATCCTTGCCAAGTGTTGGGTCCATCCTGATACAGCCTTGAGCATCTTTGGCTTCCTTGTTCACCTGGATATCCCATTCCCAGCTGCTGGCCCTTAGCTGAGTTCCTGGAGATCCATTTAACATCAGCCCTGGATCAGCTCTTGTCCTCCCTCATGAACATTCACCCCCCTTGCCCCAAGCCAGGTTTCTGCTGGTGCTCCCTGGTCCTCCCTGTCCCCAGAGCTGTGCTGGCTGCTGGGGGGGCCAGAGGAGCAGAGCAGTCCTGCCTCCCAGCACCAACATAGAGTTTTCCCAGTCCCCTGGCAAAAAAACCTAAGTTCCAGGTGAAGCAAACATGGAGTTGACTGTAGGTAGCTCTGCAAGCTGCTTTTGTTTACCTCAGAGACACCAAAGGTGGGAGGCTGGTTCCCCCGAGCTCCCCCAGCCTGGCCCTGACGCCTGAGAGAGCCCCAGGCAGTTTCTGCAGCACAAGCCCGCGCGGGGTCAGGGGAGCCCAGCCTGTGGCTGGGGTGTGGGACTGGGCACTCCCCTCCCACCCCCAATTCCAGTGTCTGCTGTGGAGATGCCATCATCTTCCTTCTGAGGGCATAATGGGTGAAAACCGCCCGGAGATACCTGCTCAGTGAAGCAGCCAGGGACCAGACATACGCGTTCAAAACAAAGCCAAATAGCAGCAAACAAAGTGCAGAAGTTCCCGCAGCTCAGGGCTTGCTGGCCTTTCATGTGCAAAAGCGATGGAGCATGTTCATCCCTATTCACTAGCACGATGTGAGAGCCCTGGAAAGGCATCATTTACCTGCCTCCACACTGTTCCTGCTCAAACACACTCCAAAAAAAGGCAGGACACATGCATCTTTCATGGAGGTGCTAAATAACTTACTTTGCTGCCTATCATTTAGTGATGGTTGGAGAGGGTGAATGAGGTGTCTTCTGCAGGGGGAAGCTTTCTGCCTTGAGCCAAACACCATTAGATGAGGGGTTGCTGGTGATTCTGCAGCCGTCCCCCACTAAAAATGCAATCCATTATCAGCCCCATTTCACTAGCAGATCACTACAAATTTCCTTGGGACCTAAAGAGTATCTTAAAAACCATTGCAGGCTTCAATCGCCCCTGCTTGCACCCAGAAAGCACTTGCCATCACAGAACCACAAACGGTTCT